AACAGTACACGCGGTCAAGTCGCTAAATGGAGATCTGAGCACGTGGCGCTTCTCACGTGACTACGAAAGTGTCCTCACGACTATGACAAGAATTTTTGCGACATACTTACCAAAGGAAGAATTAACATCGCAATCGCAGCCGCAATCACAATCACAAGTACTGACGAGAATATACCCAGTCCTATGCAACAGGATCTTTCCTGGTGATTATATTCTACAAATAGAAAAAATACCAGCATTAAATATTCATACTGCTGCCAATAGTATGTGTTATTGAGTGCAGGGCTCAAGTTACTAAACAGTGTCTAAAAGAGATAGTGACACTTAATGGAACTTATTAACAAGCTACTACCTATGATTACACAATATCATCTAGAAAGTGGTCATATGTAAACGATTCTAGTACAGATTCTAGTACTTTTTTTGGGTTGAGTACCATCCGGGATTTGAACCCAAACCCTCAGAGTCAGGTACCTAATCACCAGCACACAAAGTCAGACTTTGTGTACCCCTCTGATAGTGTAAATTGGCACGGCCGAAAGCAATGATAACACAATGCCATTTAGAAAGTGGTCAAATCTAACATATGTTATATTTGGGATTACATTTTCTTAGTGAGTGAGTTTAGTTTGACGCCGCACTCAGCAATATTCCAGCTATATGGCGGCGGTCTGTAAATAATCGAGTCTGGACCAGACAATCCAGTGATCGACAGCATGAGCATCAATCTGCGCAATTGGGAACCGATGACATTTGTCAACCAAGTCAGCGAAACTGACCACCCGATCCCGTTAGTCGCCTCTTACGACAAGATAGTCGCCTTGTTATGGCAAGCACATGGGTTGCTGAAGACCTATTCTACCCCGGATCTTCACGGGTCACATTTTCTTAGTAAAGTACAGATTCTAGCACTTTTTCTGGTTGAGTCCCATCAGGGATTCGAACTCACACTCTCAGAATCAGGCACCTAATCGCCATCACACAAAGTCCGCCGCCTTACCCGCTCAGGGGTACACAAAGTCAGCAGTCTAGACTACCAGTTGTCCGACTTCCATTTTGTGGAAGTCGCTGTGGCTGGGCGCGTTAGGCGCCTGACTCTGAGGGTGTAGGTTAGACTCCCGGATGGAATAAACCCCAAAAAGTACTAGAACCTGTACTTTACTAGGAAATGGTAACCCCAAATATAACATATGTTACAGGCTTCTAGCTGTCTGGTAAATCAGCAAGGAGGATGGTGTTACTATGAGCAGTTAGCTGGCTGCTGTGGAAACGAGGGGCGTTCGATATATTTTGCAACTTCAACATAAGACCAAGTGTTATGAGAGAGTGTTTTTTTTGTAATTTGTATTATCATTGATTAGGCGAAGTATGGGTCACAATGTTTAAAGTTTTGAGTGTGGAGTTTGGCTCGCATCTCGCATCATAGATGTTAAATGACAATATTATTTCTAGCGGTACGCCTTTTTTTTAGCGCCTCAGAGTTGCGTCCCTTGTGAACTTGTTGACTCGTCATGCCGTGGAGTTTTCCACCGCCGAATTCGATAACATTCTGAGTGGATAATGATGGAGCCTAGCTTTGCTACAATGCCCGAGAACAGTGTAAGAGTTATATAAAGGCTGGTTGTTGCGTTATGCGACGGGATTTATCACATGGCTGGAGTTATACACATCTGTCTGCTGTCATCAAGCTGATACACATCTTTTTTGCCATTGTCGAGGCTGCTCAACATCGTCAAGACTGACCGACTGTCAACTACTGTCACTGTAAACAACCTTCAATCAGTATATCTGTTCTCACCGTGAAGTAACTAGTATGATCTACCTTCAGTTAAAATTCTGTGCGCTAACATCGTTTAAGTTTAAACTTAATCTTAAACTGAAGTTCACTAAAATGTCTCATATTTCACTGACCGGTGTTAAAATGTTTTTTATGTTATGTGAATTATATACGTACATTTGTTAGATACGATTTCATTTATGAAATTCGCCTGAAGTTGGTATTTAGTGAAAAAAGAGTGGAGAGTATGTAGCTTCTACTTGACTGTTACCCATAGAGGTCCATTTCCTAGTACTGCTTGATATATTTTGCATCTTCATGCTTTTGTTACTCAGTAGTTCTTAAATGGTACACATAAAAATCCCAGCAATATTATTATGTACAGGGTAGAAAATAAGCATTATGCAGTGTATATGAAAAATATCTGCATATCCTTACTATATAGACATAAGATATAATATAGCACATGACTGAAATGGAAGGTAATAAAAAGTTCAAGATTTTATCTATTAACTGTAGGGGATTAAACAATGCACTTAAGAAAAAAAAGGTTTTTCGGTTTCTAAGGAAGAAGAAAGCCCAAATATTCTGTTTACAGGATGTCCACTTTACCAGAGATCAGGAAAAATTGAAAAAACAGCAATGGGGCTATAAAGAATGTTATATTAGCACTTACAAAAGCAATGCAAGAGGGACAGCTATCTTGTTTAATAATAACTTTGAATTTTAAGTCTTAAATACTACATATGATACTAAAGAAGGAAACTTTGTGGGGTTAAATATAAAAATAAATGAATTTATTTATACTCTGTTCAATGTATATGGCCCTAACCAGGACAAACCTGAATTCTACAAACATGTGAAGGAAAGGGCAGAAGAGCTAGCAAATAAGAATGACACTGAAAAATTAATTTTTTTGCGGTGATTGGAATTTAGTCATGGATAGCGATATGGACCCATATAATTATAAACACATCAATAATCCTGGGGCTCGGAAAGAAGTATTAGAAATTGTAGATATAATGAATCTCAGGGATCCCGGGAAAAAGCCCAGGACCAGATGGTATTACATCTGAATTCTTAAATGTTTTCTGGAATGACTTGAATAAGTACCTTTTAAGTTCTCTTAACTATGCTTATAAAGTAGGATCCCTATCAGTAACTCAAATACAGGGTTTAATTACATGCTTGCCTAAGGATAACAAACCAAGAATATACCTCAAGAATTGGCGACCAATATCACTGTTGAACACTTCATATAAATTGGCATCGGCAGCCATAGCTAATAGAATTATAAAAGTCTTAGAGTTGTTAATAAATGCACCAAAAGGGATTCGTGTCAGGCAGATATATAGGGGGAGTCACTAGAAGTATATATGATTTAATGGATTATACTGATACATTTCAGATTCCAGGATTATTATTACTTATAGACTTTGAAAAAGCGTTTGATTCAGTAGATAGAAAATTTATGATAAACGTATTAAGATTCTTCAATTTTGGAGAGAGTATCCAAAAGTGGATTTCCACTTTTTTTACAGATATTGAATCGAGTGTGATAGTGAATGGTTTCGCGAGCACCTTTTTGCCAGTTACAAGGGATTGTCGCCAGGGAGATCCGATATCGCCATATATTTATATAGTGTGTTGAAATATTGGCTATATTGATAAGAAATGAAAAAAAATTTAAAGGTATTAGAATGGGCAATATAGAACATATTTTAGAACAATTTGCAGATGATACTTCTATGTCTTTGGATGGGTCGGAGAAAAGTCTGTATGCTGTTATGAATATTCTTCACTTTTTTGAAAGATTTTCTGGACTTAAGGTTAATGTTTAGAAGACTAAATTAATTTGGATTGGGTCAAAAGAGAGATCTAGGTATAAGCTCTGTGAAGAGTGGAATTAGGATTCAAGTCAGACACATTTTAAATTACGGGGGATTAATTTCAGTGTAGATTTAGAAGAAATAGTAAACTTAAATTATAAAGAGAAATTTAAAAATATTGAAAAAGAAATGAAACAATGGTCAATTAGACATTTAACACCCATGGGTAGAAATACTATTTTGAAATCTTTACTACTACCTAAAATGAATCACTTGTTTGCCTCTTTACCTAACCCTCAAGACGAACAGCTAAATAGTTTTCAGAAGAAATGTTTTAACTTCATATGGCGGGGTAAGATAGATAGGGTCAAGAGAAGTGTCATGACACAACCACCTAAATATGGAGGAATTAAGGTACCTGATGTTAAATCAACTATATCATCACAAAAACTATCATGGATTAAAAGACTTTTTAATGAGTCATATTGGGTCAAACGTGCTGGAATTTTTATCCCAGGAATAGATACCCTATGGTTGGCGGATTGTTTATATATGAACACTACTTTATTACCATACATTACAAATAATTTTTGGAGGGATGTTGTATCTATCCAAATGCTATGATAAGATTACAAATATGTCAGACATAAAGACTCAATCATTATGGTACAACTCTAATATCTCTATTGGTAGCAAATGGGTTGAATATAGGCACTGGATAGGAAAGGGTATGTGTTTTATTAAGGATATGTTCAATGAAAAGGGGAGAAATCTATTCCTTTAACAAACTTGTAGAAACATATAATTTAAAAACAAATTTTATCCTATATCAAGGGCTCAAGTCAACAGTATCGAGATACATTAAAAGATGTTTGATTAATGATTACAAAGACAGGATATATGATCCTACTCTCCCATTTAATGTATACAGCATAATCAAAACACAAGAGGGTAGTAAAATGTTTTATCAGATTTTATGTGCTCCAGACTTCAGTACAGATGCACTGGAAAAATGTCAAAAGTGTTTTAATAGAATAATTGATAGATCAGAACAAGAAAATATTAATCTGATGTCTTATAGATGTACTGAGAGTGTGAATATGAGATGGTTCCAATTTAAAATAGTGAATATTTTAGCAACAAATAGCTTCTTGTACAAGATAGGAATATCTGAATAACACTTATGTACATTCTGTGGACAAGATTCAGAAACCATGGTACACCTGCTGTTCGAATGCTTTCATGTGAAAAAGATATGGAAGGAAGTAGAAAAATGGCTTAGAACTGTTTCAGAGGGTGAAATGAACTTTTCTCTAGAGAATATTATATTTGGATTTAAGGGCAAACACAATAATCCATTGAATGCTGTAATCTTTGTGGATAAAGAAGCTATCTATAGAACAAGCAGAAAAAAGCAAACTCTGAATATTAGACATATTAAAGCAGAAGTCATCAAATATTATGAGTGAGTGAGTGAGTGAGTGAGTTAATATTTAACGTCACATCGGCAATATTGCAGCCATATCGTGACGTGAACATTATACATTGAAATGGAATAGATGTAGATTATACAACCTGCCTACGAAGGACAGTAAAACAACTAGAATATCACAGTGATAAATTAAAGACTAGTAATTAAATCTAAAATATGTAACTTATAAATGACAATACAATATAAAAACAGGCTATAGATTGCCAACAACTGAAGGTAGATCACCATACTAGGGACCATGGGGACTTACAGTACATTTGCTTCCTGCATGGACCCTAGCTGGATTTACACCATCCCTTCAGCCGTTAGCAATTTTACAAATCTAGCCATACATTAAATAAAAACAGGTATTTTACGATTAAAAAAGTGGAACGTTTTAATTTACTTTGAATGCTTGGGGACTTACATACCCTCTCAGGAGGACAATAATTTTACAGTACTTTAACCCCCCTCGAGGATACAGCCACTAACAATCTTAGTTACTAATTCAAACTTCCAATGTTAAAATATTTATGTATTTAAAAATCAGTTAACAAGTCTAATGTTTTAAAAAATGCAATAATTAAATGAGAACTTCATAGTTTTGACTTTGAAATAGATATCCCTTATGATGGAATATTCAATGCAGTCAAGCAGGACCGTGATTCGTTCATCACAAGGGATACAAAACGGAGGATCCTCACCTTTTAATAGGTACTCGTGAGTATATCTTGTGTGGCCAATACGACATCGTCGTATGATGAACTCTTCAAATCTGGACTGACAACCCAAGTAGGTGTAACCAATGTGGGGTTTTATTGCATGTAATTTATTAATACCTACTTGTCCCACTTCTTCTGCATCAGATCACGGATGTAGGTTCTAATGCTAGCTTTGTAATCAGAATATGGGATCAGAAGTGGTGTCACAGACTTGTTGAGTGCTGCCTTAGCAGCAATATCAGCCATTGTGTTCCCAGAAATGCCAACGTGGCTGGGTAACCAACAAAAGACGATGTCGCATTGGCCAGTAGCAAGTTCATTATATAATTCAATAATTTCTAATAAAAGTGGATGTGTGCTCAAATATTATGAAGCAACAAAAATGATAGCTTTTTCAAATTGTAATTATGCCAATTTTTTTAGCTTCTGGTCCTCCTTCCATACATTATTTGCCAATAATAAAACTTTTATCAACAGATTTGTGTAACATGTAAACACTTTATATACATGCTTAGTTTGACCATTTACATATTTGCGAACAGCATGATATTCGACAATGTGATTAAAGAAACACTACATGTGTACTATGAGGCCACTTGTACTGTACTGTACTACTGAGGTAAAGTCCGTAAACATGTAACACTTCATATACATGCTTAGGTTGACCATTTTTTATATTTGGGAATAGCATGATATTTGACAATGCGATCAAGGAAACACTGTACTTGTGTACTATGAAGCTACCTGTACTGTACTGTACTGAACTGTACTACCGAGGTAAAATCTGTAAACATGTAACACTCATATACATGCTTAGTTTTGACCATTTTACATATTTGGGAATAGCATGATATGGGACAATATGATCAAGGAAACACTGTACTTGTGTACTGTGAGCCCACTTGTTCTGTACTGTACTGTACTACTGAAGTAAAATCTGTAAACATGTAACACTCATATACATGCTTAGTTTGACCATTTTACATATTTGGGAATAGCATGTTATGGGACAATATGATCAAGGAAACACTGTACTTGTGTACTATGAGGCCACTTTTACTGTACTGTACTACTGAGTTAAAATCTGTAAACATTAACACTCATATACATGCTTAGTGTGACCATTTTACATATTTGGGAATAGCATGTTATGGGACAATATGATCAAGGAAACACTGTACTTGTGTACTATGAGGCCACTTTTACTGTACTGTACTACTGAGTTAAAATCTGTAAACATTAACACTCATATACATGCTTAGTTTGACCATTTTACATATTTGGGAATAGCATGTTATGGGACAATATGATCAAGGAAACACTGTACTTGTGTACTATGAAGCCACTTTTACTGTACTGCACTACTGAGGTAAAATCTGTAAACATGTAACACTCATATATATGCTTATTTTGACCATTTTACATATTTATGTACTATGAGGTTACCTGTATTGTACTGTACTGTACTACTGAGATAAAGTCTGTAAACATGTAATACTTCACGTACATACTTAGTTAGACCATTTTGCATATTTGTGAACAGCATGATATTACAGTGAGTGACAAAGGAAACACTGTACTTGTGTACAATGAAACTATTTGTACTGTACTGTGTACTACCGAGGTAAAATATGTAAACATGTAAGACTTCATATACATGCTTAGTTTTTGACCGTTTTTTTACATATATGTGAACAGCATGTTATTTGACAATGAGATCAAAGAAACACTGTACTTGCATACTATGAAGCTACCTGTACTGTACTACTGAGGTAAAGTCTGTAAACATAATTCTGGGAATAAAAACATGAAAGAAATTTTTTTTTTTTTAAATGTCACATTCAAAAGTCATTGGTGTAATGGTTATCGCTGTGGATTTGTAATCCAAAGGTTGCAGGTTAAAACCCCACTTACATCAACTAAACTTTCCTAAATTTAAAAAAATATATATAATGTATTTAAATTAGCCTCTTTTCTAGCACTTGTTTATCACATGACGTCTCTAAAGAAGCACGTGGTCTAAAAAAGCATGCACATCAGACTGTACCTGACCATCATGCTGGAAAGTTGCTTCACCTCACTGTCTGCGAATCACTGCATGTTAAGGAACAAATGTAAGTTACTTTCAACTCATACCATTTCTAACTTTATTGCTTCATTATCATTTGTATTAATAACGAATTATTGGTCAACAATTTTTATAACGGTTTAACGAAATGTTGTTCAAATGTTCAATCATCCGAATTTCTTTGTATAATTTCAATACGCATTGTAAAGTTTATTAATGCCAAAAAGTAAATAGATTTAAAGTGCATTAAAGGATTTATAATTACATTTAGTGATTGACGCAAAATGCGGTTATCAAAACCATTCTATTGCATCCTTCGCATTTGCTTCCGCGTTCTCGTGTTTACTTCCGCATTCTGTTACCTGCCGCCATAGTTACGTCACTTAGTTACCAATGACGTCAAGTATTATACACGCGTGCCGAGTACGTCACTTTCTGAATGTCATTCCCGCCGATCTCATCGTGCCGTCAACATCATTCTGTAAAATCAATCTGTTCTTCATTTGTCATGCCTGGAAAAAGAAAGGAAGCTATCAACCACCGGCTCGTGAGGACGGGGAAGGGCCCTAAGCAGCCAAAGAAGACGCCGGGTGTTGCAGTCGTTACAGGCGGTAACATTTCTGAGGACGGTGAGTCTTGCAATAATTATCTTAATCCATCGCCCGCATCTGCACCGGTTGAAATTTCCGATTTCACATCCCCGGCGCCAAGTGCAATTCCCAGTATTTCGGGACAGCTTGAAGCAATTCTTAAATTGCTTTCAAACCAAGGTAATCTTCAGAACCCGGTTGTCTCCCTCCCCGTCGTGTCTGACATTTCAGTCCCCTCTTCCGCCCCTTCGCCAATAACGTATGACGCCCAGGAAATCAGTGCTCACGTGAAGCAGGCCACCCGTGACAAAATCTACAACGGTGAATACGTTGATCTTTCAGCCTTACTTCCTAATGTGAATTCGGGTATCGATAACCAAGCGAAAATGGAACTGATCGCTGATAGAGACGGTAGTGTCTCTCTCGTCACCCGACAGCAATCGCAGGGTAAGCCATTCACTCTTGGTGCATGGACATCAGCATTCCATATCTTTATGTCGATTTACATGTCAAAACATATTTCATCTAGTGTGTTATAGGCAATGTTGTCATACTCTGAATCCATACGTAATGCTGCCTGGTGCTTCGGCGGAGATGGATGGAGGGTGTATGATCAACAATTCCGTCACAGAATGGCAAGGGATCCCACACGTCTGTAGGGACGTGTCGGCGGTGAGCTCTGGTTGCATCAGAGATGCTGACACCTCAACAGATCAAGCCACGTACAAATTCTGGGGTAAGTTTCTCAAAAAATAATCCTCGTGATTTACCATGCAATATTTGTTAGGACTTCAACAAAGGGAACTGTCAACGTCAATCCTGTAAATACCCACACAAGTGCCGGAACTGTGGAGAGTCTGGTCACAACGTCAAGAGCTGTTTTCGTCCCCATGCGTCCGTTGGAACGTAAGCTGCCACCGGTGCAAATTTCCAGCCCCGTACACCCCAGCAGTATAGACGAAATGTCTCGAGCACCAACTCCGGTCAGCGTAACATGTTTGAGTCTCTTCACTCGTGACTATTTACAACAAAACTGACTTTCCTGGGCCTGGAGCTAGACACAGTTGCCAGGCACGTTCGAATCCCACAAGACAAAAATGTTGAGACGAGCGCGCAGATCAGAGGGTGGCTGAGTGCGGATCGTAAGAAGGTAACCAAACGTGAACTCCAGTCTCTTATGGGTAAACTCAATTTCATGTGTCGTACCATTCCCATGGGACGGGCATTTTGTTCACGTCTCATCGACGAGATGTGCAAGTTAAAGTCTCCCTGTCACAGATGGCGGCTCACAAAAGGCATAAAGGATGACTTGGTATTGTGGTTACATTTGTTAATGGCATATCAGTTTTTCAGAGTCCTGCGTGTATGCCAAACACGGTCATGCAGCTTTTTACTGACGCAGCAGGCGGTGCAGGTTTTGGTGCTTACAACCAAGGCAAATGGACATGTGGGCGTTGGCTACAGCAATGGGTGCGGGAGGACGAGGGATATGACGCTGTAGGAATTGTTCCCTATTGTATTGCCTGTCCAAATTTGGGGCGAGTCGTTGTCCAACAGAAGAATACTGTTTAATTGCGACAATCAAGCGGTCGTTCATATCATCAATATGCAGTCTTGCCGTGTCCCTCGTACTATGTCCCTTGTGAGACGCTTCGTTCTATATTGCTTGCAGTACAATATCACTTTCAAAGCTGTATACATTAGTACCCATGACAATGTTATAGCTGATTCTCTGTCGAGATTGCAGTTGGACCAGTTCCGCAAATGTCCGCCAGCAGCGGACCTGACACCAACAGCCCCCCCGGACGGGATCTGGGACTTCTAGATCGGGTGGTCCAGCGATTGCTACACAAGTCCATGTCGGTGAACACCTGGTCAACATGCCACACGAGCTTGCAGACGTTCCACACCTTCAGACGAGCCTATGAGCTGTCACCACTTTGGCCGGCCCCGATTGATCAGGTTGTGCATTTCATTTTGTATGTCGATTAACCATTACTCCAGCAGTACAGTTAAAACAAACATCTCCGCACTATCATCCTTTCATAAGTTAAATGGGGGGCAGGATTGCACCGATCACTTCTTGGTTATTAAGTTACTCGCTGGCATGTCACGTGACCAGTCGCGACGTGACACACGTAAACCAATTACTGTTGATTTGTTAAAGTTAATTATCCGTAATCTTCCAGCTGTGTGCAGCAATGTATATGAGCAATGTCTTTTCAAAGCTGTTTCCTGTGCCGCATTCTTTGGATTTTTCAGGGTGGGGGAGCACGTACAGACCTCGGTTGACTAGCCAGGCCTTGCCGTCAATGACGTGAACCTGGACACATCTGCCGGGCGAGTACAATGTACTTGAGATGCTCCAAGACTGACAGGCTAAACAAAGGCGTGCTCGTTGCCATTTCCTCCATCCCCTCCAACCCTTCGTTCCCGTGACAGCTGTCCATTCTCTACCTTAACATTCACCTAAGTGGTCCACAGCAAGCCTATATCCACTTTGACCACTCCCCTCTCACAAGACAAGTTAGGGCCCCTCCAAGAACCGCCACGCTCATGACCATTAACCCACAACAATGTTTATTATTGGTTTTGTATGCGTGACGTCAACGCACATTGGGTTGACGCCGCCTGTCCAACGGAGAATGTGTTTTGATAAAATGGTTTAACATAATGCAATTTTTGTTACATAATGCCATTCAAACATGAATATATACCACATCTGCCCCATCCATTTATGAAAAAAAATCGTTGAAATTTTAGATATACACCAAAACTAAAACCGCTTTAGCCCCGCTCATTCGTATGGATACTGTTGGCTGTATGTGAGTGTGACGTCATACCGGAGAGTCCGCTCAGTGTGTTGACATTTCTATAGTGTGTACGCCATCGAGTTGAAAGTGATACGAAGCGCAATATTTCGAATGAAGCTTTTGTTGTTGTGATTGCGTATTGGACACTGACAACTGCACT